ACTCCTTCCCCTCCTTGTCTTCTTCTTCGTCCTCGAGGACCGTTATTGTCCTGCGTCTCTTTGAGGATCCCGTTCGAGTGGTGAGATCGTATCGAATGGATAACAAAAATAAATAGCTCGACGAGAGGCCCGCATTATAATAGTACGAATGTATTGTCCTAGATTTCCATAACGCCCGTCCTCGTGAACAGGCGCGGTACATTTTGATATGTTGGGTTTCGAAGGTTTTTCAATGTGTCAGCCATCAGAGATAAAGGGAAGGATTTTTATATATATATATGTATATATACACATACATATTCTCTCCTTCCTATACCCAACAATGCCATAGAATGTGAAAAAGCATTTCCTTTATTGATTGAGACGTTATATAAATTTTGTATATCAAAACAAATGCCTGATTTTTTTTTTGTATTAACGTCACACTCACCATTATTTGGTATCTTCAATTATAGTTGAATTGAAGTATTGTTTTGAAACAAATAATATTTAATTATTAATAGCACGGCTTATTGATTGGCTGTAAAATTTTCTCTGTTAATTATTATATTACATACATGAATTATAATTCGTAACTATTAATTATAAACTTTAACGAGTTCATAATTACACTTATGAACCTATCAGCCTATGAAATTTCAGTTAAACGATATTACTCAGGCACTTTCGGTCGAACGAGAAAAGTAAGATTTAATTTATTAGAAATAAAAAGTAGTTAGCCCCTTTTATTAAGCTTTGTCGTACTTTAGCGATATTTGAATATTCAAATCGTTCAGAGGTTCAGAAAACGGGAAGCGATTAAATTAGTGAAATTAATTATAATACTATAGACCAGTGTTACTTGCCATCAGGAGTCATCCGAGGAGTACAGTTCAATTACGATAAGGACTGTATTAAATTATTATGACATAAGGTGGTGAGGATGTAGCTTGGGGGGGGGGGTCAAGTCATGCGCAGTTGGAGTGCGTGCGAAACGAGAGTTAAAAATAAAAATCCAGGGGGTAACACACCTGGACAGTCGTTAAATCCTCAATGAATAATTGAACAAAGATAAATCTAGTGGCATATGGACAGGTTTTTGGTAAAATTTAGAGAAAAAAATAAATAAAGGACTAAAGCGCATTCTGCGCAACGAGTGCGCAGCTTGATGCGCCATATGCGTAGACGAGAAAAGTCAAGCCCACCCTGTACATAGAAACAATGATCTAGAAGGGCGGATAGGGTGAGGACAATGAAACTATTTTACAGGAAAGCACTTCTACACGTGAGTTCATTTACGCCTGCAAGTCCAGGGGGCGTAGAGCGCAGTGTACCAAGCCCTATGCGTATGTGAAGATATGTGAATTTGAAAGACAACATGCATATCCACGTACTCCGTGTTCAATGGTTGTAGAAGCGAGTGAGTGGGAAATAGAGGGTGCCGTGAAGTTCTGTCGGGTAGAGATTGAAGATGAGCGAGATCAGTGACACTCAATTTTAATGATTGAAGTATATGTTTTTTGAGTAAAAATTTTTTTTGCAAAATTTTGACTTTTTTTTTTTTTTAACGTACGTAAGTCGCCTAATAAGGGTTAACGGGTGGTAGAAAACTTTTAATAAAATTCCCCGCAACCGATGTTGACTCTCGACTAAGGCCAAGTACGCTCCTTAGAAATTGACGTTAAAAAAAAAGTGCACTTTTAATTGAGGTTATGTACGGCCGCCGACCAACCGCTGGTAATCGCTGGGACCGAGTGAATCGTCTAGCTACGGTGCTGCCACCTTCATCGATGGAACGCAACCCCCATGCTGGTTATGTCTACTTGTTTTAATTGGGATCAGCTTCCGAGCACTCGGTACGAGACAAATGCCAGAGAGTGGGGGGG